TCGAGAGACAGAATGCATTGCTTCAAGAACAGATAACAATGCTCATGGAGATGGTGCAGGAGAACGAACCAGTGGACGAGGACGAAGAAGGTCCCGATGGAAACTAAAAAATGTTTTCCTATTATTAATTTGTACTTTATATTTTTTATGTACACATGTTGTGTTACGTAGTGTAGAAAGTATAGAATTAAAGGGTTTGTCTGTTAAACTGTATGCTCTTTTAGTTTTACTGAAGACTGGTATGTGTGATTTGATTCTATTAAGAATTTGGAGATTGTATGATGATGACTATGATAATATGTTGATTATTGAGAAAAAGGAAGTCATATGTCACAATCGAGATGACTGTTGACTGTAGGTTATACAAACAATGATTATTTTCAAATAGTTTATACTAGTACAATATTTGTGTATTACACGAGTGTTGAGTAAAAAAAATATATAATAAAAATTTTTGCTAAATTAATTTTATTTTTTAAAATAAATTTTGATGGACTAATTAATGGAAAAAAAGGAGAAATAGACAGTGCAGAATGTGATTTGTAAATCGTAATTTAGAATATAAATATGAGAGAAAATTATAATATGGTAAAATTACTACTTGCATAGTAAGAAAGAAATGTATATTAAGAGAAAAAAAAATAATATTAAATCTACATTTAACAAGTTTGAGAAAAGTTATTTATATCTGATACCAAGCCAAATTCCAAAACAAAAGTTAATATATAAACAATATTACGAAACATAAATTTTCGTCATATCAGCATGCGAAGCATTAGATACTGTCAATTAAACTCAACAAGTTATGAATTAATATATAAAGAGGGATATCACAACTCTTATAAGATATACGCAACTAAAAATGACCTGCAACATGTATAGCCATGCCATGTACATTGTTTGTGCAACAATAGTAACTGCAGCAACAAACCTACACACACACAAGACGAGACACAGGACTCATCATCAACCTCAATCTCCGAATCCCCCAATCAAAGCAAACAAACTATAAACGAAAAGCACAAACAAATCAACCACAAATGACCAAAAAGAAAAAAAAAAAAATAACTACGGTATATGCAAACCACCTCACACGGGCCTACTCTCGAAATCCTCGGAGATATTAAACACGAACTGAGGCAGAGAGGCTATCCTCGGCAGGTTCAGCAGCAGGTCCCCTAATGAGTCCTTCCTCGGCATATCCGGGCCCATGTCCCCCTCAATCACGACCTCAACCTTCTTCTCGTTTTCAGGGGGAGGATTCTGATTGTTGGTGTCCTTCTGGAGAAGACAGCAGAGGGAGTTGACCCTAGTAACAAGCGATTTCTCGATGTCCAAGCCGGGCGGAATCTGGGAATCAGTGAAGAGGCATCGATTGATGTCGTTTAGAATCTCGAGGCTCTGCCACTCCTCGCTCGAAAGGGTAGGGTTTTCGGGCTGCTCAGAGATGCGGCTCTCGAGGTGCCCCACCAGGTCGCTCATCGACATGGACGAGCAGAGCCCAGGTATCGTGATCTGCTCTAATTTCCCGAGCTCTTTCAGCTGCTGCTCCATGTTTAGGCTGTTCTTCATGTCGTTCACTGTTGGCGTGCCTATGGCTAGATGTTGAAAAATATATTATTGAGAAAAATTGGTCAGTAGGGTGTAAAACGTAGAGAGATGTGATTATGTTTATTTTAGTTTACTGTAGTTGTTCTTATTTAGTTTAGGTTTACTATGCTACAAGTACAACTCATTATTTTATTGTGATATCACATCATTGTATTCGAACAATTTCCCTAGTGAGAAAAATTCAAGTAGAAACATATAACATCCCCTTAAGTATCTACATAAGTGACAAATATATAATCTCAACAGAAAGAGTGATATAATATGGGAATTAGAAATGACATGATACAAAACACGGAAGTCTTTAACTTGGTTTTAGTGATTCCTCTTACGGCCAAAAAGTTTTTCAATGCAATGCACTATTTCAACATGGGCCACCGAAAGCCATTAAGCACAATATTTTTCATGAAACATCCTAAACAGCTAACTATTAAAGAACTTTAGGGCTTGTTTAGTCTATAAGGATATCCTAAATTAAAGTAAGGAACCCAATATAACTTGTGTACAAATTCACCCAGTTACCACATCTCAAGGGATCTGGCTACACGTACATTATCGTCAAAATCATCATGTTTAGTAATGCGATTTTAATATTTTCTTTTTTCTTTCTCCAAATCTTAAGTGTCATTTATGATTTAAGATTCATAGACAACTTTTCGCTAATCTTACACTCCACATTTGATTATCTCAAGAGGAAAGGGGTATCGATGATCACTACACCCTCGTCTTTGTGGCTGTGCGTATGTATTATGTATACATACATACATACGTACATACATACATATATGTGTATGTATATAATGGATTAATGGAAATAAATACAGTCCCTGCGAACTCTAGATTTCAGGTAATTAAAAATATGTGATCGAAAGAAACTTGAAAGGTTAACACAGTACACTATCTTGAATGTTCAAAGACAAAATATTATTAACTTTCAAGTTCTAAACCATCAAAGAACTTAGCTTCAGAAGTAGCTGCATAAGAGTACAAAACACGCTTTGAAATTGGTTAAATTAAGATTTCCTTGATGAGTTTACCTGAGACTGGAGATGGTGTTTCACGAGGGTAGGATGATCCTGAGAGCCCGCCAGTTGCATCAGTATCATTTTTTGAGGAAGAAGATTGAGCCCCCAAAGGTGAAGTCGCATCTTGTAAGCTGAAAAATGAAGAACTTCCGTCCTCATTCAAATCGAAAGTGTCCCTGTTTTCGTTCTGGTCATCAAACACGGATATTCTGGGTTCAAAATATGGAGAATCTAGTATAATCTCTCCTTGCTGACTGAGAAAGTTTAAGCGGGGATCACATTGTGTAAGTTTCTCAAAATGCTTTCCCAGTAGGCCTTGTGGGCACTCCAGATAGTGTTGCCTGCATTAGAAAAATTAATCACCTGAGGTCTTTACGGGATCACCAGTATAGTAAATCTCTCAAAGAACAAAATCAAACATTGGAACATAACAAACAGACTGCAAAATGTTGACGGCGACGCTAAGTAATGTATAAAACCAAACTTGAGTTTTAGGTAATCATTCATGTCAGGATATGCCTTTTTCCGACTCATGAGGTTCAATTACTGGAAATAATCCAAACACTATAAAACCACCTCTATTAGCATCAGTAATCATATTGAAGCACAAAAGATGGTATGAAATATGAAGATCAATTCCCTGTCACAAGAAGGATATCGTGAGCGACAAACAGAAACGAGCACACTACAGTAACAGATTAATGCTTTCTGCATCACGGGAAAAACGATTACTTCATCTCCATGTTAGAATTAAACATGTAAAATTATGGAATTGAAAACTTGAAGTGAAGTGTGTGTAGAGTGTGAGAGAGAAAGAGAGAGGGAGAGCAAGAAGCTTTTGCTGACAAAACATAATTTAAATCCAATTGACCTGCTAAAAAGGGACTCTTATCTCACCTATGGATACTAGCTTGTCCACCAGTAAAATCTGATGTTGCCTGCCAAAGTGTGTGTTTCCTTGGTTGTGGATTAGTCTCCCTAAAGAAAAGCGGTTGCCGAGCCAACTGCAAAAGAACAGAAACGGGAGTTGTGATAAACACTGCTTGGATAACGCTAATATTAACAGAATGTCCATTACCACAACTTTCAAAGTCCCAGGACCACCATCCTCGTAATTCGCCTTCAACGCCATAATATCTGACCACTGAACTTCGATTTTATTCTTCAGACCCCCATCAAGAACTTCCCACACAAGCTTATGCTTCGCAAAATAACATTTCGCCACCAAGTCCCCTTCATGTCTCGATTTATACTGCAAAAATCGAAGAAACCAACGTTTTTAGCAGAATATCAAACAAAATGATTTAACAACAAACTATTTAAAGTCCTATTAAAACACACCAAACAAATTCCGTACCTCCCACGCTCCGATTCTAAGAAGTGAGCCCGGAAAATTAGAGGCCTTCAGCTTATCAGCAGACGCTTTTGAAGCCTCTTTCCTACCCTGATTCCCAACTCTACGTGAGGTTGATTGGGAGAGTTTCATCTGAATCAACTCCAAAAGCGACGGGCTTTTCCTGAGACGTAAGCCCAACGGGCTCGGCTCATCAAGAGGGTTGTACTGCGTGGGGGGTACTATCAAACCACCCGTTACCAAACTATGCTGCTGCAAAACAACACTAGATGATTACATAATTCTTCTACTGTATATATGACTTACAGTTCTTGCAAAACAAACTACAAAAAAAACTCATAATAGTAGCCGACACATTCGAAAATTAACAAGAAAACCAGTTATCCATAAGATCACATTCCTCAAACTCCAAGAAAAAGCAACAAAAATCACATCACATTTGAAGGGTTAAAAAAGAAACTAAATAAGTACAATAAAGCAGGAAGAATTCAATAGAGGACAGGAAACAACTCCTAATCAATCTCACCGAGAAATAACTACATTATTCGCAGTATAAAGATCTACAGAAATAACTTAAAGAAAGGGAAAAGAACAAACAGTACGAAACAAAATTACTTTAGGACGCTTGTGAAGTGGAGCGTCGTCCTCTTCCAGAGTGTCCTCCACCTCCATCTTCACCACCGCCATTGTTTCGGCCGGCGAGTCCGATCCGTCGCCGTTCATCAACTGCACCATCTGTTTGGGGTAAAAATCACTTTCTCGTTCTGTGGCCTGCTTTTCAAAGTTTCTCGGGTAAAAATCCCTAGACACCAGCAAACAGAGAGAGAGAGAGAGGACTACTTATCAGTACAGAGATTGCTAGTGTTGCAGGAGGAGGAGGGAGAAGACACCATTGATGAGGGAGAAGGAATTGAAGAGAAACTAAAGACGTACGGTTTATTTGGAGACGGCGACTCACACGTGTCGCCTCCAGACGGCGTTGGGGTTTCGGTGTCACTGGCACGTGCT